ACACTATCTCGCCGCCGGCGCACATCACGCACCCCCGGCGTACACTATCTCGCCGCCGGCGCACATCACGCACCCCCGGCGTATACTATCTCGCCGCCGGCGCACACCACGCACTCCCGGCGTGACCCGGGTGAGCGCACAAATCAGGCTGCCGCTACAATATATATATTTATACATTCGTACATACATTTTATACATACGTATTATTTTATCACTATTATAGTTAGCTTTAGCACTTTTCCTTACGTGCAAGCCAGTACAGAGATCGGATCCGGATCGTAATCGCGATTGAAATATGTCCGCTGGTAATATAATTACCTTGCGTGGAGGATATGTTACAAATATGTATGGCTATGTTTCTTATAGTCGAACGACGGACAGGAGGCAGATCTGTTCGACAGAGAAACGGTCGTGCATCAGATACGAGGATTGGAGGTGTTGGAGACCGTTAACCTGATGGCTGAAGGTATAGCATCATATCAGGAGTCTATCAATAGACTATTGATAGACTCCTGATTATATCGCCTCGTTATTATCTCATGCCTCAGCAGACGCCATGTCCGTACGAGCCTTAAAGTGATTACGTCACCGTAAATAGTAAAAGTAAAAAATAATGTTTCCACTTTTTCACAAAATGTAAGTTATTCTGTTCACTTTTTATGGTTAAATTGCTGCTTTATACTTCGTATTTTACTATAATGTTCGATGTGAACATACACTCGTGACTCATACATAGCCCATGCATAGCAAGCAATTAATGTCATGAACATAATGTCAAATCGTCCAGGTTTTTTGGATTTTTAACCAGTTGAGAAACAATGTTATTAGGTAAGAATTTGACGATACATTTAGTCCCGTTAGTACTTACTTTTAATGTAAAAAATGGCAACAAATATTGTTACAAATATCACCATAGAAAATTCGTGACGTAGTCAATTTAATTGCGGAACGATATGCGTGATGACATCGGCAGTGATCATGCACTATCAGCAGTGAATTAATGTATATGTTTAATCTTTTTTAAGCTGATAAATTTTTTGCTGAATTGTAAATTTAGTTTGCGCTTAGTTGCTCCTGGTACGGCCGGCAAATACAGACTTGTGCATTTAGTAGCGGTAAGAAAAACAAAGCACTGTCTACTGCTAGCTTACGATAGCTGTTATGGTGGTACACAACAGCAATCTATTAGCGGGCTTCTTCTTCTTCTCGGGTCACTACAGTAAACTCGGCCTAGCCACTGCAGCACACAGGACCTGGCACGGTGGTTGAAAGCCTCAAGGTCTCCAGGGCTACAGGGCTCTGGTAATAGGGGGGGGGGGCATTTCAGGAGATGTCCCATAGTTTGTCCTCCCCGCAGTTGCATTCGGTTGGGCCATCTTCAGTGTATCCCCATTTCTGCGTAAGTGCCCTAGCTGCATCGAGCAAAACCTGTCCTAAGGCTAATCAGTTAACACTTGATATTATAGGTAGAGATGCACTCTTTCTACAATGTTATTATTGCATATTTTGCAGGTTTCTCGCACCGCATGCGTTTCAAGGCATTTTCCAATAACTATCGGTTTCTACTCCGGAGTCCGCTGGCTGTCAAAACGGATAACAAAGCATACGAAGAATCGAAGGCTATTCTAGAGCGACTGTCGCAGATATTGTCTGAGAGCAATACGCCGTTCAGTAGCTCCAGCTGGGCTGTAGGGCAGAAGCACATATTTCTTAGGTATGATAAAAGAATAGCTGCTGCAACTTGTAAGGCTGCTGTTGTTTAACTATGTGAGCAAGAAACGATGATGATGATGATGATGGTGATGATGATGATGATGATGATGATGATGATGATGATGATAACGATGATGATGATGACGCCTATGACGATGACGCCGCTGCCACCGCCACCAACGACGACGATAATGATAATGATGATGATGATAATGATAATGGTAACGAAAGCAGCAGCAATGTTCTGCAGTTGACACCGGCCTGTCATTCATTTCTATCGCAAAATAAATTCAATACGAGACATTATCGACACGAGGTATTCCTTCTCTCAACCAAACTCATCGCTTTCTCTCTCTCCCTCTGTGTGTGTGCGCGCAGTGAGTTGACGCGGCAGCAGTTAGAGACTCTGAGGCAGCGGCGACGCAACCAGGCAGCAACCGTGCTGCAGAAGAACGTACTACGCTGGCGCGCCGTGCGACGCTGGCCCAGTCTACGACGAACCCTGGAGATGAGGAGGAAGAACTGGAACCACAGGCCGACGCCGCCGCGACCAGCCAAATCCAGCGCACTCATGTCAAGGTAGGTCCAGCCAAACCCAACGCATTCATGTAGAGGTAGGTCCAGCCAAACCCAGCGCACTCATGTAGAGGTAGGTCCAGCCAAACCCAGCGCACTCATGTCGAGGTAGGTCCAGCTAAACCCAGCGCACTCATGTCGAGGTAGGTCCAGCCAAATCCAGTGCACTTATGTAGAGGTAGGTCCAGCCAAACCCAGCGCACTCATGTAGAGGTAGGTCCAGCCAAACCCAGCGCACTCATGTAGAGGTAGGTCCAGCCAAACCCAGCGCACTCATGTAGAGGTAGGTCCAGCCAAACTCAGCGCACTCATGTCAAGGTAGGTCCAGCCAAACCCAGCGCATTCACCTATCCGCTATCTACCTATCCGCAGAGGAATCGTTCGTCTCCTGTGATGCGACAATATGATTCTTGTACCGATTACCTCTCTTTCGCGTCGAATGTGCGGAAGTTTGTGCTTCAAACGACGCGTTAGTGTTACTCTGTCCCTGGTGTACGCAACAGACCTATAAACACGCGGACTGTTATATAAAAAAAATTGCTCGCAATAATCTGTTATGTCCAATTCTATTCTGGATGCATATGTGTATGTAATACTTTTTGGTATACATACATACATGCACGCACGCACGCACGCACGCACGCACGCACGCACACACATACATACATACATACATACATCAGGGGTAGATAATGACACATTTGTGATATTTTTTAGGCAATGCATTGATTGCTATCAGATGAAAAACTCGTTGGTGACATTGTAACTGTTTACTACAGTCACCTCTGCATTAGCGGCCACCTCTGTAGAACGGCCATACGAATCATTTTCGCATTTCTCTTATAGCGGTAGTTATACAGTTAGACTATTACTATAAAACGGTGAACTGTCCATAAAGGCCACTTTTGCTGCTCTCTTGCGTGACCGTTATATAATGGTTTGATCGTGTTAGGAATGTTGTTAAATTAACGAGAATGTTCAGTTGCATTTATTTTTTCCGTCGTTCATTGTTTACGAATAGGCCACGCCCACAGCCGATAATTGACACGTCAGATGCGCTGGAAATCAGTCGGCTCTGTGATAAATCTACAGTGCAAGCGACCATCAACGCCTACGGTTTGGATATGGTAAGAGCAGCCTATATATACAACATGTTTTGCTTGCATCTATGACAAATACGACATACGCATATGCGCTCTCCTATGACACTATTTGTCATAGGAAGATTCTTGCTATGACAAATATTGGCGAGTCAATTTCGTTCCGCTTTACAGCTGAAATTCACTGCTTGCGTTCATAATAGCGCGAGTTAAGATAAGATAAGATAAGATAAGATAAAGCTTTATTTTCATCGGTATTTAGTTAACTCCCATGATGCGCACAACACATACAACAATATTTGTCTTCCTATGACAAATATTGTAATTGGAGAGCGTATATGCGTATGTCGTATTTGGCATAGATGCTAGCAGAACAGACTGATATATAATATGCCCCTTAGCCTCAAAAGGCACAATTTCGGGGGCCCGTTGCCACTAGCTAGCATCATCAGCAGTGGGTGTCTTGACTCTAAAATGTCAAAGCTTTTGCACAATATCTCACTTCAAATGTTATACAAATCTAGAATTATGATGTCATAATTATTCATGTTTCTGCCGACGGGCCCCTGACCGGGGCAGAACACAGGCACTTGGGACATAGTCAGTAAAAACTGAAAATAATATGAACGCACATTCACAAATACTACCGTAGGCCCTACCTCTCAATTACACTTCCACTGTTGTGTGAAACTAATGCAGAACGCTCCCGCACTCGCCGCTGCGAGTGTGCTGTGTCGCCATCATAATGAATATATATATAGATCTCTATATATCTCTAATATATCTCTCTATATATAGATATTGAGTATATGATATATATAGAGGTATTTTAGAGGTATTATTAAAGGTATTATTAGCTCTTGATATTATCACCGACAACGATCCTGATAGCGGCGAATGGTTCGTGCGTTCGAACGTGTTCTAGATCGTTGTTCTGCGTGACTTGGCGCACACAAACACACTTGCCCTTTCTCTCTCGTCTACAGGAGAACGCTCCACCAATCCCAGCGAAGCGGACGTACACGGTGACGGGCAACGCAAAGGTCGGCTTCCCTCACACACGAGTTATCGTCAACACCTACCAGGGTAGGTACCAATGCTTAGCATTCAGCAAATAGAGATAGAGTGTGGCAAGTTAACCCGCAGTGCTACCAGTGGACTAACCCCCTACTGTAGCATTTACTGTGAAAGCAGCTGCGGGGCTTCAGGGTTACTGAAACGGAGATAGGCACCGCCCGATGCGCCATATAGGCGCGGGACGGATTTAACTTTAACTACCAGGGTGAGTGTTGTCCCTCTGCCGTGCCAACCATGCACTTTCTCGAATATTCTACTGCGAATATTTCAGATACGGTGAGAAATCGCCAGACCTTAGGCGCCCGTAGAAGTGATCCATTTGACGCATTCCCGTATGTGCGTGTGCGTGTGTGTGTGCGTGTGTGTGTGCGTGTGCGTGTGCGTATGCGTGCGCGTGCGTGTGCGTGTGTGTACGTGCGCGCATGTGTGTGCGTGCACGCACATTTGCGTGCGTGTAAATAATTACATATTTTATTTATTTATTCATTTTATTTATTTATTCATTTTATTTATTTATTTATTTGTTTATTTATTTATATTAACATTACATAACATCTATTATTAATCGCTCCTGATTACATTACACAGTAAGTGCATGGCCATACTTACTATTGACACTCTATTGACGCTCTTGTCGGGCAGTTACTTAACGTCGGTGATAAGGTCTATGGAAGAAAGTTCCTTCACAAGCTTAACCCGAGCCCGACGCCGCTAGAGGTCGTGGTGGACGCGCTTGCACTTTGTACTCATCGTTCACCGGATATTATTATATTATATATATTATAATAAAACTATTATATTATTATTATATTCGTTGCAGAAGATGGTAGGGCGGACCGAACCCTGATGAAAGGGGAGCCGGTCAAGGTCGTGGGAAAGTCGAGGAAGAGTGGCTACTTGCTCGTAGAGCACAAGAACGGCTTCAGCATTGATGTGCCTTTCCAGTATTTATCGCTACCGGTAGGTAACGTTTCGCTGATCATATATCTTTGGCAGCTATATTAATGCAGCCTCTGACCTATGCATCATCATCAATGCACCCCTTAGTTACAGAGGGTACATCAAAGTTGTACTGTTTCACTCAGGAATTTTATTATTTTAACTGCTCAACACGATTGCATTCATCAGATTTTTCTCCATGAAAAAGGCTGTCCTCAGTACATGTACTTGTATTTTAATTACATGCCATAAAGACTTAATAATAATAGCAGTTGTTTGGCGAGGGGCTACACAGGTGCACGTGTGTATCATTGCCATGCTTTGATGGCTCCGTAGCTATGCTGTGTTTTCACTGAGAACGGTTGTGTGTGGTTGTGATATATCAATGATGTCATTCTTTGCAGGAGAAGCCAAATAAATGCTGAAATTCCCAGAGACTGGCGCCAAATCACAGGGACAAAGTTTCATTTTACTCGTTCGCCAAACAAAGAGAGAGCGTGTGGGAATTTATATTACGTTATACTGTTAAAATAATATAATTAAGTATATTTTGAATCAAAATACTGGTTTTGTGGTTAGGATAAATGAGAGGGAAGGTTAAAACAATAACGGCCTATCACTCGCGAGAGAGTGTGTGAGATATAACAGAATTAGAGACAGATCACCACAGCTTTTAATCATCAGTTAGATAGTAGCTCATCTGAGAATATTGTTCCACCTGGCATTAATTGTTGAAGCCTCCCGATTGTGTAAATGTTAATCATTCTTGCTCATCCGTAGTCTACTTTTGTTCTACTTATGTGTTCTTGTAGTGTATATAGGATTGATCTTAGTAGCATTCCACTGCCGTGTTTGTATTTATTTCTGACGTTGTACATTTCATATATCTTTCACGCGTTGTTAATCATGTCGATTTATTATTTTAATTGCGAGCGCGCGTTATATACAGTTGTTTCTGTTGTAGACGATGAAGGCGACAGTAAATCGAATGTTAGATCTGTTGGAGTTCGAGCTGGTATATTGTACACCGCCTTCGCCATTACTAACTTATTTCTGCGAAAAAACGCGGCTGTGAACAGACGTTTTGCTATGGTCTTGGGCATCGGAGCTTGCTCACTAAATAACGCCGTATCTTGTAAATCGCTGTACCTACCTTTGAAATCTTTTAATTGAAATCTTTGAAACCTGTAATCTTTGAAAATGTTATCGGAGGCTCATTGCAGTTTATTTTCTTAAATAATCGATGTGAATGCACCGTAAAGTCTCAAGAGTTGTCGGATAACTACAGCCTGGTAGCTATAGATGTAGCGGTGAATGTATATATATATACTCTATGGCTCCGAATTACGAAATGCGGATCAGCGAAGGCTATACCAATAGCGCGAATATAGCTGATGCGTTTCGCATGTCAAGTGCTTATTATAGTCCCTCGATGACTTAGTCTCCCTATTGTAGTTTTAATAATAACGCAATCTTATTTCTGTAATATATGTCTTTCTGGTTACGTAAGTGAGCGAGTGCAGGGATAATATTCGCGGCAGAGCATGGTTGGCTGTTTACATACCAGCTGGCAGAGTTGTGCCTGTAATATATGATGTACAGAGTGCGCGTGTTCTCAGTTACAATTTGCAATAAACGACCAGTATGAAAGTAACGCATCTCCGATTTCTCGCTTTTCATCTGAAATCATCACACGAATGCCTGCTTTATCAGTTGCTCTACGTTTCCTATACACTCACTGGCTTTATAATAAGGCACTCTGCCTCTCTAAATCTATTTGTAAGACTATAGGACGTATCAATGTTCAGTGCCGCTAATCGCATATTAATCTTCTAGGGTCACTAAACTACACTTGACCTAACCACTGCAGCACATAGGACCTGGCACGGTGGTTGAAAGCCTCAAGGTCTCCATGTTTACAGGGCTCTGGTAATAGGGAATCATTCCAAGAGATGTTCCCTAGTCTGGTCCTCCCCCGCAGTCGCATTCGATTGGGCCATCTTCAATGTATCCCCATTTCTGCATGAGTGCCCTGCATCGACCAACCCCTGTCCTGAGGCAATTTAGACAGAGCCATAGACATAACGTTATTGGTACTATCAATATCTTTTCATATAGTTGCTTGGAATGTGGAAGCGTGTGAAAGGCAGTATACCTGCGGTAGATCACCATATCATTGATGACTTATCTATAACAATTAATCTAATGGTTTGGAAGTATGTGCCTATGTTTGTATTTAGTTTTATTTTCAATAGATAGAAGTCACAAGTTATGTACAGTATCAAGTGCAACTCGTCAACATTTGCGATAGCAGTTCACGTTGGTATACGGATCAGCCATTATCTGCGTTTAATTGAAGAATCATTTTTCATCTTGTGAAATTCAGTAGCCATCTACGTCATTAGGATAGCGCTAGCACGTGTACCACTGCCATCCCCCAATCAACGCCATGTCTGGTTAAACTTTTCAAGAATATTAAATTATTATACTATTATTAGCTCTTGATATATATATATATATATACACCACAGCAATACATAACACGAGTGCGCCCAATTTAGCGAATCTCCGTCTCTAACTTATAGATAGATATACACCTTGCATCTCGTATCTGCAGTTACTGAGTTTTAGGAAAGCTTCCCAACACAAAAGAGTAGCCAATAAGAAATCGTTTCTTTGTTCGTCCTCTGTATTCATTTATCGTTAACATATTATACTAACACGATACGTAAGAGTGTGTAAGGATGTGATCGGTAAGGTACGCAATCTTACCTGCTACATAATATAAAGCAATATTATACAAATCAACGCGGGTATACGACATTGTAAACAACGTCGTGTGTACACCTTCTAAACAACATGGTATTTATACCATTGCAATTACGTCATGTATAACTTTTGCAGACAACATGGTATTTATAACATTGCAAAAAAGTCGTGTATACACCTTTGAAAATAGAATGGGTATCACCCATTAAAAGTACCAAAGTATATATGTTGTTGTTGGCAAGATGAAGTGCATACATTATTCTAAATAGCATGCCTATATACAACCACAAGTTTATTATTAAGAATATTAATAATTAACTCGTTACTCAATAGAAACGGTGTAACGTGCATAGCCAAGCCAAACGGCATACAACGAATATCTTACAATAGCATCAGTCGTGTATTATATAGATTATATTAAGCAGTATAAATATACATCTTGTATATATTATTTGCTGGAAATTCCTCCATCGCCAACACAAGCTTCTGCTTACGGCTTCCATTCGGAAATGCCCCATTGCTGATATCGTAGCAATAGAGAAAGACTTTTCAGCTGCCGCACCCACGGCTAAGTCGCTATGAGACAAAATAGCGGTCGCTATAGCAACGGATATAGCGTACTCGTGGTTTCTTTTAGTATACGTCTATTATAATGTCACTATAGACTATGGATACGATATAATATACAGCCACGCCTACAAACATGATTCAACCATGAGTGATGTGTATAATATACATACATGCTCCATTAGATAAGACGGTATTGCATACATCTAACCCCCCATCCACACATTTCGGTGAGGGGAGGGTAATTGTACGGGGGTAATAGTCAGGTGGTTATTCTAGAACCTATACATATACACATATATAATATATTAATTACTACTTCAGGATTGTGCTGTTCCAAACTAATACCAATACAAACTAATGTAATGCAATGGAAAATATAGACACAACTTTTACATACTACTACTATATACTACTAATACTTACAAAATCATTTGTTCCACAAATTGCGTGTGTGCGGGCAACAGAAATATCCGTGAATATAAAATCACAGACAACATTGTCAGATAATGGCTGCTCGAGAAATGCCACGCCAGCGGCAACACACACAAATTCACAGCTTCAGCGGTCACGTGAGAACGTCATGTGACCAAGCGGCTTCTTTGCATGTGTTACACACACGCGCACACACACACGCGCGTGCACACACACACGCACAGACACGCACGCACGAACACACACACGCGCACACACACACGCGCGCGCACACGCACGCACACGCGCACACACACACGCACGTACGAGCGCAGCGAGCAAGAGCGCACTCACACGCTTGAACACACGCGCACACACGCGCACACACACACGCACGTACGAGCGCAGCGAGCAAGAGCGCACTCACACACTTGAACACACGCGCACACACGCGCACACACACACGCGGGCACGGACGCACACACACGCTCACACACACGCACGTACGGGCGCAGTGCGCTCGACGGATGTCGCAGGGCCATATTTGCCGATACATTAGCATAGCTGGGAATCGTGACGCGATGCTGCGAGCGAAGTGAAGCATGTAGATAAGATTTTACCATGCACACGTGCTGTCAGCCTCCCCGGCTCCAGTTTGAACGTATAAGAACGGCCGAAGAATATTATCTTGGCAGTCAACGGCGACCGACTTCGCAGCGCTATTTGCCCATACATTAGCATAGCTGAGAATTGTGGCGCGATGCTGCGAGCAAAGTGAAGCATGTAGCCGCTCCGCCGCATGCCGTATGATATATATAGTCAGTGTATTAACGACACGGCACACCCGCAACGGCGAGTGGCGGGAGCGGCTAGTTCTACATCAGTTTTTGTGAAAGCAAGTCGATATACAGTGACACAACTCTAGTGGAAGTGTAATAAACGGGTAGTTTTTGTGAATATGCAACGTTCAAATTATTTTCAGTTTTTCATGACTCTGTCCCAAGTGCCTGTGACTATAGTTGCTACTCGTGTTTGCAAGCACCGCGTGCGAAGTCAACCGGTCCGTTGTCTCGGCATTGAATTGCAATGGCCGATAGAAAGCCACCGACAACACTTTGTCTCCATAGCTAAACGTGAGGGTTACGTAAAGGCCACCGCACACCAGCCGATTTTTACAAACGATGAAACGATGAAACGATGAAACGATGAAACGATGA